CTTTGCCCGGAGACTTCCATCTGCGGGTAAATAGTTTGTTCGCTAAGTTAGCGAACGAACTTACACGCGAGCCACCCCATGTATTAAGTTCGCGGGTATCTTTTCGGTGGTGCTTTTTTTGGTCCTTAGGGGGTTTTAAAAGTTTATTTCTGTGCAAATTTTATGTGCAAGTGATAGACAATAGTGCAATCAACTAGTTCTGGCTTTTTCAGCCAGTTCGGCCTAGCCGTTCGGCTGCTAAGATTAGACGAATTTGAGGTCACCTTTTCATAGTACTGAGGCCAGTTTTACCAACAGAAAAATAGCCGCCTGGCGGAATTTTTCGCCTAAAGGCCGATTCACATACGGATCGAGAGCGGTAAAGCCCTATCCGCTTACGTGCTTATCGCGTTTACACTCCGTATGTGAAACGGTCTTAAGACAAAAAAAAAAAAAATTCCGCCAGGCGGCTATTTTTCTGTTGGTTAAACTGGCCTCTGTGCTTGTTGAGGGGTTACAAATTACGTATTTCATCACTGCAAGTATCCAGATGTTTTCGACAAGTCATACATGAGTATTGAGTAATCAGAGCAATCTTTGAGTTGACAGAATTGAGGATGTAGGACTCAAATTTTCAAATGCCGAGGTATTAGTCTATTTCCATCGCACCTATCTCCTTGCCACCAGCTGCTATTTCGTAATCTTCGGGATAGTGAGATGGGATTCGTATCGCATCCGAAATAATGTGATCGTCGAGCCAGCCGGCTAGTGTCGGGCCCCTGTCGTCGCACTTCGCGTTACGTGTCAGTGGGGCGAGGACCAGCTCAGTGGAAGCAATACGAGTGTCCGGTCAACAACCATGGACAGGAAGAAGAGGAGCAGAAATTTCAGTAGTAGAGACATGCATTTGTAAGCCGATGTCATGAAGACTGAAGTAAAAGTCATCGAAAATAAGCGACACGATGGAAGGAGTAATGAAGAACGAAAACGGTCTTGGAAGAACATTGTTACAGCCTGTAATGCAAGGTCAGAAGAAAAATGGGACTAGAAACAGCTGACACAGCTCTGGAGAGATATGAAAAGGACGGCCAAAAAGAACCATTAACCCAATTCACATCGTCGTTCACATCGTTAGCGGTTTCAACGGCAGCAAATGGGCACTGGCGGTGGACCGGATCCTGCGCCGTTGGAACGTCAGCCACCCCCGCGACACGCACATATTAAACTGATCACTCGGTGATAATCGTCCTTTGTGTGGCATTGAATTGGACACCGACGACGCCTCACCGGTGAAGTGACGGGGCGGGGGTGGGGATGGGGGGTGACGGAGACGAACCGACGAGGGCAGACGAGTAATCTGATATACGGCTGTTGCAAGATAATGCAGTAGACTGGCGGTCGGCCATACAGAGTGAAATAACACAAGGCGATTAGCATTATTGATGCTGATTGGCACGACTTCAAACGCTGTTCTGGTTAGGTTAACCCTAGAACGCCTAGGGGGGGGGGGGTTGTATCAACCCCCCCCCCCCTGAGGTTTTTTCGAAGTGCACGCTAAACGGCTTGTCGTAGCGGGCTGAAATTTTCAATACCCTCTGGGGCAACCTTTGCGCATCTTTTGCCGAAAAAAAATTGATCGGGTCATATCAGGTCACGGAGTTATGACGTCATAAGAGGTACAGCCTCCGGCCGGATTTTCACAAACTGAGTGCCAACGCCCGAGGTTTCCTGCCGGCGCGGTGGTACGGACATCGGTTGATTGATCGTGATGAAACTTCCCATGCATGTTGGGGCAAGTATTGGCTATCATATGGTATAAGAAATTTGACCGGGTCAGGTCAGGTCACGGAGCTATGACGTCACAAGAGGAACAGCGTCCGGTACTATTTTTGAAAAGCGCCCGAACCACTATTTTGCTAATTCTTGTCACCTCAATGGGAATATGCAGCAATATTAGCTTCTATAGGGAGCAAATGGACCTCCCTAATCCAAAAATACAATCAGATTTCAAAAATTTAAATTTTGATTTTTCGAATTTCTGCCGCCGACTGTGACCTTGCCGACTTCCGGCGCTCCCAACGCGCCATTTTTAGAGCTAGGGAAACGAAATACATACCAAACGATAGAGAATTGATCAAGGAACACGATAGTGAAGGTTTCAAGTCGATATCTCCCACCGTTTTGCCGCAATCGCCGCCGAAAGTTGAAAAAAGTTTATTTTTCCAAAAATTTGACCTTTGACCGGTCAAAAGTAGGTCAAATGTTGACCTAGGACCAAAAAATATACCACCAATCGCGAGATCTCGTTGAGAGCAATCCGTTGGTTTTTTCCGCTAAGCTCTACGACCTTCCGTTTCGAAACGCCAGGGGGGGTCGTAACAACCCCCCCCCCCTGGCCGTTCGTGTTATGAGAAATGGCCTGGTCGTGCGAGGGTTAATGCATCACCACATCCCATTGTTACGGCTGTACTCATTGCATGTGTAAAAACGCTGAATGGGGGCCACCGGTCCCATAAATAACGGAATTACGCACTTGTTCATTGGACCAGCTGATCGCCGCATCCCGATCAGCTGATCGGGAAGCCCTTTAAACTGGCGTGTAAGTCGGCATTTAAATATTTACACGCGTGTAGCTACCCACCAGTTAACCGCGGATGGAAGTCCCCGGGTAAAAGTTGGTGGGCAGCTACACGCGTGTAAGGAAGTTAGCCACCAAAATAAACGCGAGTTAACCGCAAACTGGAAGTCTCCAGCCTAAAAAATCGTTAGATATTTGCGCTGACGTCACACATTCAGAGGGGTATTCCTAAGCATTAGCCCCTCTGAATCAAAATGCTGCAATTTTGAAATTCAATATTTCCGATTTAAGGCATTTCTCGATGTTGTGAGTGCCGAAACCGGTAATTGTGAGCCAGGGACCCCATTTTGGCTATCTCAACTCAAATCTAATGTTAAGGTGGGAGGGTCCCTTTAAAGGTGACCCTTTTCCTTTAAAAGTCAATAAATTTACCAGATCAAAGAAGGAAAGTCTATTTTGATGAGCCGGGCCCGCAAGTACCTAATGTAACAATGAGTTGATTCATTCTTTTCGCAGGCATACAAATTATCGCTTTCCCATGTAAACACATCGCACAAAATATTTTCACTGGATCGTACATGATTTTTATAGTTACACTGATTCCATCAATTTCAAAAACTTCAGCATGTGACTTGTAAATATTTTTCTTCGGTGCATTTTATCTGTTAATATAGGCTTCAGGCATCAACGGACGATGCGCCCGCCCTTGGTGTTCGTAATTTCGATCTGCTGAACGCCGAGTGTGCTCCCTAACGATGTCGGCCTCTTCAGGTGACTTCTCCACCGTGCATCCGCCGCGGCCGACTCCGCGCCTCTCTGTCCCATTATCTCCTCCATACGGAGCGCAGCCCCGCAGCCCTGTACGGCTCCTTGGTAACAGGCCGCGTCATAAAAGACGTTTTTGCATATTGACGTGGGGTAAGGTCACCAAATAGCTCAAGATGTGTCAGTGTGTACTTATCGGCTCTTGAGTGGAGTCAGTACTCAGTAGAGTAGGCATTCGGGGAAGGATTTGATGTTTTTTCCAGAGACCCACGAAGACACCATTTCATGAAGCAGATCATCCGTCACCGTAATCACAGTTAAAGAGACATTTTTAAGGGCCAGATAGATGACTAACCATTCCCCACCAAAGCAATGCAAAGCAAAATAGCATGCTGCCCACTGTACAGGTATATTTATAGGTAATGATCGAGAGCGGCAGCGCACCTGGGTTTGTAAGAACAACACAAGCTTCGGTGGCGAGATGGTCGCCATTTTTGCAGCACCTGCATTCAAAGTCGCGCACAAATGAGGACCGGCAGGGGGCCTTTGATCCAGCTCGACAAATTACAATAGAACAAAGCCGCCGGGGGCGCACAAAATAACCTGCGTCAGCAGCCCGGTCCTAAAAGGTCCCGGAAAATGAGCCGAGCCGTGGGTAAAAATAATGCGAATAAAGCACTGGGGCATAAAGATGAAGGGACCGTAGCAAAGGCAGTAGGCTACGTCCCGGCAGTCGGCAAGTTCGAGAGGGAAGGGGATGTAATGAGGAGACGGGTTTCCGCTACTAAAACATGAAGGCATTAAACTGAATAATGAATTCGAACCAGTTTGTTTCACTACATGAATAACAATCAATTCTCACGTTCCCCCAATGCGAGTAGGGTGCGGACTGCGGATCCTAAGAGGGCCTCTTCTCAATATGTTACACCTGAATGACAAAAAAGAAAACATTTGGAACCAAAACATTTATTACTCACTGTCTTGAATGGAAACTTGACTAAACCAAACTTCTTATTCGCTATTCGATTCGAAGGCCCAATCGTCCCACGACCCTCTACACCACCGCATATGAGTACATCTCTGGTCTAGGTATACGTATTTCCGACGACAGCTGCGTCCTCTGCTCAGGCACCTCGCTCGGTCTAGCTACATCAGAGGCGCTAGTGTCGAAAGACATTGCCACCACTTGAGTAAGTAAATGTTACTCTGGCATCAGTATTACTATTCACAGCTGTGCCTGAAAGGCGAATTGTACTTCTTTCCTCTCCATTTATCCACGGGCGCGGGATCCAGTTCTCCGATTCTCCACCCATTTCATTCATCACACTCTCCTGGGGGTGGGCGCGCCGCACAGCAGCCCTGGCTGCTGTGCGGCCATGGCTATGCGGCCACGAAAATAGTGTTTGTTTTGACCGACGTCAAAGACTTTTCCAGATATACGCATGCGTGCACATTCATGTGCAGTGTGCACATTAATGCACATTACTGTGCACGCATGCGTATAGCTGGAAAAGTCTTTGATGTCGGTCAAGAGCACTATTTTCGTGTTCCGGAGGTCAAGGAACATCATTCCTGTGATTTTGATCTGTAGTTGGTATATATAGTTGGTATATGTTGGTATATGTAGAATATTGGTTGAGCATCGGTCAAAACGACACAGAAAAAGCAAATGGAGTACACTTCTCGAAAGTCGTGTATTTTCTGCCCAGTTAAGTACCACACTGCACACTATATACAGCTACATTACTTCGCAGTCAGGTCACCTGGTCAATCGGATGTATAAATGCCACAAAAGAACTTCCCTTTGGTTCACGGTGCTTACTTTACCTCGGCTTACTAGCTTTTACAGCAAGGCACACTACGCATGGAAAGACAACGCTGCATGATAGAAAATCGCACATCACTGCGACCGAGATCATCTTTGTACCAGCTTTGAAACATTGTTGATAAATGCTGCTCTGTAGGACGTATGCATGAACATCTTGTTCAAAAGCATTATCATAATTCTGCATCACCCTAAGCATACTTTGCTGAAAGCACTTTTAGTGAAAGCTATCGCACTGACCAAACAAATCGAGCTCAGCAATCTTGCCACAGCATCTCCGATCACCATCGATAAAGAAACTATTTCACGATTCAAGAAGTCCAAAAACATTGAGCGCTAGCCATTGATGGCTAGATACCAAAGCTCGCCTTACGTTACAGCCAGCTCACACTTAACACCATCAAGCACGCTACACAAAAATACGAGTACAAACATCTATCCGGAGAATCTTCTCTCCAGATGTAAGCACTCTAGAAAGCTCTTGGAAAGTAAATACCCGTATAAGGAACCTGAGTCGCCATATCAACTTACAAAAGCTATTGGCTCTGGAATAAATAGCTGACCTGGCGCCACTTCTTGTAGCCATAGACACCCAGTAAGTATGTAGAAACACACTTGATTACTAAATACAGGATACACATGCGAGAGTTTTCGTCTTATTCCGTTTTTTTCTCTCTTTTCAAATATTACACTTTTGGAATGCTAGATTGGTTAAAAAAAAGATTGGTAATCAAAAGCAACGACTCATCGTATATATAGGATACAAATTGGCAGACTGAGGTTGTCTTTAGGTATGTCTGGTAGCAATGACGGATCCAGAAAGGCGGTCTCGCACGCTGGGGGGGGGGGGGGGGGGGCACACCCCTGAAAACTCCTGATTCCAAAGACCCTTCGGAATTTGATTCCTCATGGCTCATGGGTTGCTGTGCAGTGTGATGTAAACCTTTTCCTATGTTGTTTAGTTTTCTTTTCTTTTCTAGAAAAAAACGACAAATTTTCATCGATTTCGGGCGCTGCGAGGGGTAAATTTGCCCCAAACGTCCCTTGGATCCGCCAGTGTCAGGAAGAGAAAAACGTGACGCGAAAAGTGTTAAATCATTATTTAAAAAATAACACGGAATTTGTAATGAGGACAAACGATAACGAAATGATATCGATCAAATATATAAAAAGAAGTGATGCCAAGTAAAAAAAAAAAAAAACGAATAAAACGTAAAACTCTCGCTGTCAAACATGTACAACTCTACAAAGGTGCAAAGTATAAAACCAAAGGAGATAAATACAAGGAGGAACGTACTTCTGTTTCGTTGAACCACAGCACTGGTTCAGCTCCGTCTGGGCTTGCTCTTCGCTTCATCAGCGTAGGGGTAGCGGGGTGACCACTGCCAACGCAGGCCTGGCTGCCCCTACCGCCTTCCCGGTAGCCCAGAGAAGCCTCCGACCTCTCGGAAGCCTCACAGCGGAATGAACTCGACATCGTTTGGGTTGTAGGAGCCCTCCGTAAGGTAGAACCCGACGTTGTCGCGGCGCGGCTCGCCCAGCCGGTGCGACAGAACCTCAGTCAGGGTCTTCAGCGACAGCGTTTCGTCGGACGTCGGCTTACGGTCCAGCTTCACGTGCACCATCTTCAGCATGGGCGCCTGCCGGGCGCCTATACCGAGCGCCGCCAGGGCACCGATCGGGTTGATCGACACGGCCAGCACTCGGCAGAAGCGCAGCTCGGGCAGCTCCGGCAGCGCGGCGGCCAGCTTCCGCAGCTGACACTTGGAGACGGCTTCGTAGATGGAGAGCACCTGCAGCTCCCTCAGCTGCGGCAGGTAGTCGAGGAACGCGTCCATCTCGTGCGGCCGCTCCAGCGCCGAGCCGTGGCCGTGCACGATCGTCAGCCGCTGCAGCTGGTGCAGCTCGCTGGCCGCGAACAGACTGAGCAGGCTGCGCGACACGGAGAGCGAGCGCAGCGGGCCTGACGGCTCGCACGCCTCCTTGATCCGGCGCGGCACGCCCCTCCTGCAGCCGGAGAGCACCAAGCCGTACACGCGCTCCTGGCGCCGCATCTCCTCCGGTTCATCCGGCACGACTGCCACCACGGGGAGGGGTGCCGGCGGCTGCGGCCGCGGCCGCGGCTGCATGGGAATCCGTGCGTCGCAGGCGCCCGAACCGACCAGTCGCAAGTTGTTAAGCCGCTCGACCAGCGAGGCCTGCTCGCCGCGGCCCCAGTCGGAGGAGCCGTTGGTGATGAGCACCTCGATCGGGCAGCTGCGGCGCACCAGGAGTCTCAGCAGGCTGCGGGCACGCTTTTGCAGCTCTTCCTCGCCGGAGAACAGGCCGGTGATGCGCAGCTGACAGCGCACCCGCCGCTGCGACTGCTTCTTCAGGAACCAGTCCAGCTTCACGGTGGCCGCCTCCAGCTCACGAGTCTCGTGGTCGGCAGACACGGCCAGGCCCACCGACAGTGAGAACGGCTCCTTGATGTGGCATCCCTCCTCGGCGTCGGTGCGGTTGATCTCGAAGAGCGCGTCCAGGATGGGCTCCAGCTCGGGTAGCGTCACCATGCCGTAGTAGGTCATGTCGAGGTGGCGGAGTTGGCCCGGCCGATCGCTCAGCGTCATCTCCAGGAAGCGGGCGCTGATGAAGCCCACGGAGAGCGGAGAGCCGCCCAGTTGCCCGGGGCGCGGTGAAAACGACGGCCGGCCCATGCTGACAGACAGCAGCTGCGGCAGGACGTTCTCCACCTCCATCGACAGGGCGTGGTCCGAGAGGAGGCGCTCGCGGCAGCACAGGTCGCCCAGCGCCAGCGTCTTCTTGGGCCAGGTGTTGAGCGCGACCCGCACGGCCGTCACCTTGCCACTCATGATAACGCGGCGCGTGATCTGCGCGCGCAGCTCTACAGAGACCACCTGCTGCAGCGCGGCCTTGACGTAGTTGGAGTGGAGCAGCAGCGACGTGATGCACTCATGCTCGAGAGAGGGTAGCTGGTAAGGCATTGTGCTGGTGGTTGTGGTGTCAAAGGAACAAACTGGACAAAGGAAGATGCTCAGAAAAAGAGGTTGGTGAGGGGCATTAAAGGATGGTTAACAAGGATTCAGAGAAATTCAGCAAGAGTCAGCAGCCCCATGGTCACCTGAAATCAAAATGCATTACTCTTAGAAATCAAAATGAACTGCATCTTAGGATAGGGCTGTGATCACAAGCCCCTGAGCAAGATACTCCTTCATTGGTGAAATATTGTCATGTATAATCATCCTAACTGCCAGGAACATATTTTATACAGGCTTCCATTTTGAAGGTCAGTTGGCAGGCAAAGCACTAAACCCTGAAGCGGAGCCTGGGTTGACACTCATACACCCAATAAATGAAAGTCTTGGCATTAATGGTCTGCAGTTGGTGGAGAACTTCCCAGTTTAGTTGGTTAGCTGAGTGCAGGCATCGGTAAAATCCTTTTTGAAAGGATTGCATTCCCAATCCACATTCCTAGTGCCGAAGTGGATTGCATTCCTACCCGCAATCCCCTTTTTTCACTTGGATTGTGATCAAATCCGCAATCCTTTTTTGCAATCCTGTTGTATTATTATGTGCACACCGACCGGCGCACATTCTGCTCGGACAACTCTAGCCAGTAGCCAGCGGCCTATTGTGATTTGTGATATTGCGTGTAAGGTGTTGTGAAAAACCAGAACAGCCTTTGGATCTCACTGAAAACATTGGCAATACACACGTTTTTGTTAAAAAAAAAAAAAAAAAAAAATTATGTGCACTTAGTGGATCTGGGGGAGGGAGGGGGGCATAGGGCCGTGCCTCCATCCCCAAATCACCCATTTATTTTCTAGTACCTAGTCTTGCGAGTAATTCCTATCTAAGGCACAGGTATTTTATGGGAAATATTTTTGCCTCAAACACCCCCACATTTAAACCTCTACCCAACCAGTGTTTTATATTTTTAAAACCGCCCTCAAATACATGATTTTGCCCTTCCTATCAGTGATGCCATCCACATTTTTGCTCCATCCCAAGATCTCGACCAGAATTTCCCAAGATTCTCGTCTCGAATCCCAAGACTACCCATCGCATATCCTTAAGAGTACCCCAAGTAAATCCATAGCTTATTTTGGACATATTAGTGTGTTTAGTATTCAACTTTCTCTTCTTCGGGTCCACCCTTGTCCTTATTGGCGTATTTACAGCAGCTAATGTATGTACCTAGAGGCCGGGGGAGGGGAGGGGGAGGGGGTCGATCGGACTCCTACAGCTGATCGGTTCCTGACCGAGTATAAGAGCTTCACGAAAAATGAAGATGCTGGCCCTAGACAACATGAAGCCGGTGGTATCTGATATTATGGTCAGGTCATTCGTCGACCGTCAATGGTGGGTCAAGGACCCAAAACACAAAGTCCGAATCTGTTAGAACTTCTTGGAAACGAAGTCTGTGGCATTTTGGATTTATTTCGAAATTTGTCTCGTGACACATTTGGAGAAGCTAGGGTCAGGTGAGGTCAGGCCGGTCAGGCTGATTTTAAGTGTTTTCCACCACTGAGTTTTGAAATATGGGCTCCAAAACAAGCTCTTAAAAGCTTATGTGAATCCCGAAATCGAAAAGCCTATGCTGTGAATCTGCGCGTAAGCCAGTGCCCGCTGTGGCCCATGAATTTTCAAGCCGACGATGGCGAGGGGGTCTAAACGAGGACCTAACTCGTCCCCTGGACTATATAGTTACAAGACGTCAGCAGTGTTGTGAAGGTCGCAAGGTTACGCTTTGATTATTTTTGGTCCAGCAGAGCCAAGAGGTCAGGTGACCAGACACTTTTCCGAGGTCAAAGACAAATTGCCCTTATTTTGGTTCGCGTTCAACGGATAAGCCTCCATAGAGCAAACCCGTAAAATGAAACGCTTTGTGCGGGAGCCGCTTTCTGAAATATTTTTTAGGCATAATGTTTGTAAAAGCTTTTCATAGCCACCCAACATCATGCCGCCAAACCACCCATCCCCATTGATCGGTAGTTGGAAATTAAACAAATGAGCGTCAGTTGCGAACAGCGACTGAAAGCTACTACTATACCCATAACAAGTAATGGTACAAAAATAATGCTTCGATCTCGGGAAGATAATGCCCGCTAGAAACATTGCAAGCTTCGTCCGTTACTTCAATATGTTTGATTAACCGTCCGTGAGGCAGATCCATCCTAAATCTATTATCGACCAAGGAAAAAGCATTCGACAGCATGAGAAGACAAAGTGAAATCAGCTTCTGCCAGATCCCAAGATATGCAGTGCAAATCACAAGATCCCAATGTTAATGTTCAAATCCCAAGATCTTGGGACAAATCCCAAGGAATGGCATCGCTGCTTCCTATGTAGTTCATCAGCGTATATTATTTTGAACGTTTAAATTAAAAGCGTTTAAATTATTTCAAGTTTCGATGTAAAGCCCTTGATAGCAAAGTACATTAAGCCGATGAAGCCGTTCTCATGATTTTCAATCGCAACAAACCATTTCAAAGCACTAATCTAACACCAAAACACGCAATCCGGATTGGATTGCAAAAATTGGAAGTATGATGCAATCCAATCCGCAATCAAATCCTGTTTTTTTTAATGGATTTCAAATCCAGGTGCAATCCACCAAAAAGGAATGCAATCAGGATTTTGCAATCCTGCAATCACAATCCTACCGATGCCTGGCTGAGTGGGACCATTGCACTGTTAGTTTGTGAGACATCTTAACGTTTGGCAACCAAATTCTCCCAATTCAACCCAGAATTGCCTGATCTGACAGCAGGCATCGGTAGGATTGTGATTGCAGGATTGCAAAATCCTGATTGCATTCCTTTTTGGTGGATTGCACCTGGATTTGAAATCCATTAAAAAAAAACAGGATTTGATTGCGGATTGGATTGCATCATACTTCCAATTTTTGCAATCCAATCCGGATTGCGTGTTTTGGTGTTAGATTAGTGCTTTGAAATGGTTTGTTGCGATTGAAAATCATGAGAACGGCTTCATCGGCTTAATGTACTTTGCTATCAAGGGCTTTACATCGAAACTTGAAATAATTTAAACGCTTTTAATTTAAACGTTCAAAATAATATACGCTGATGAACTACATAGGAAGCAGCGATGCCATTCCTTGGGATTTGTCCCAAGATCTTGGGATTTGAACATTAACATTGGGATCTTGTGATTTGCACTGCATATCTTGGGATCTGGCAGAAGCTGATTTCACTTTGTCTTCTCATGCTGTCGAATGCTTTTTCCTTGGTCGATAATAGATTTAGGATGGATCTGCCTCACGGACGGTTAATCAAACATATTGAAGTAACGGACGAAGCTTGCAATGTTTCTAGCGGGCATTATCTTCCCGAGATCGAAGCATTATTTTTGTACCATTACTTGTTATGGGTATAGTAGTAGCTTTCAGTCGCTGTTCGCAACTGACGCTCATTTGTTTAATTTCCAACTACCGATCAATGGGGATGGGTGGTTTGGCGGCATGATGTTGGGTGGCTATGAAAAGCTTTTACAAACATTATGCCTAAAAAATATTTCAGAAAGCGGCTCCCGCACAAAGCGTTTCATTTTACGGGTTTGCTCTATGGAGGCTTATCCGTTGAACGTGAACCAAAATAAGGGCAATTTGTCTTTGACCTCGGAAAAGTGTCTGGTCACCTGACCTCTTGGCTCTGCTGGACCAAAAATAATCAAAGCGTAACCTTGCGACCTTCACAACACTGCTGACGTCTTGTAACTATATAGTCCAGGGGACGAGTTAGGTCCTCGTTTAGACCCCCTCGCCATCGTCGGCTTGAAAATTCATGGGCCACAGCGGGCACTGGCTTACGCGCAGATTCACAGCATAGGCTTTTCGATTTCGGGATTCACATAAGCTTTTAAGAGCTTGTTTTGGAGCCCATATTTCAAAACTCAGTGGTGGAAAACACTTAAAATCAGCCTGACCGGCCTGACCTCACCTGACCCTAGCTTCTCCAAATGTGTCACGAGACAAATTTCGAAATAAATCCAAAATGCCACAGACTTCGTTTCCAAGAAGTTCTAACAGATTCGGACTTTGTGTTTTGGGTCCTTGACCCACCATTGACGGTCGACGAATGACCTGACCATAATATCAGATACCACCGGCTTCATGTTGTCTAGGGCCAGCATCTTCATTTTTCGTGAAGCTCTTATACTCGGTCAGGAACCGATCAGCTGTAGGAGTCCGATCGACCCCCTCCCCCTCCCCTCCCCCGGCCTCTAGGTACATACATTAGCTGCTGTAAATACGCCAATAAGGACAAGGGTGGACCCGAAGAAGAGAAAGTTGAATACTAAACACACTAATATGTCCAAAATAAGCTATGGATTTACTTGGGGTACTCTTAAGGATATGCGATGGGTAGTCTTGGGATTCGAGACGAGAATCTTGGGAAATTCTGGTCGAGATCTTGGGATGGAGCAAAAATGTGGATGGCATCACTGATAGGAAGGGCAAAATCATGTATTTGAGGGCGGTTTTAAAAATATAAAACACTGGTTGGGTAGAGGTTTAAATGTGGGGGTGTTTGAGGCAAAAATATTTCCCATAAAATACCTGTGCCTTAGATAGGAATTACTCGCAAGACTAGGTACTAGAAAATAAATGGGTGATTTGGGGATGGAGGCACGGCCCTATGCCCCCCTCCCTCCCCCAGATCCACTAAGTGCACATAATTTTTTTTTTTTTTTTTTTTTAACAAAAACGTGTGTATTGCCAATGTTTTCAGTGAGATCCAAAGGCTGTTCTGGTTTTTCACAACACCTTACACGCAATATCACAAATCACAATAGGCCGCTGGCTACTGGCTAGAGTTGTCCGAGCAGAATGTGCGCCGGTCGGTGTGCACATAATAATACAACAGGATTGCAAAAAAGGATTGCGGATTTGATCACAATCCAAGTGAAAAAAGGGGATTGCGGGTAGGAATGCAATCCACTTCGGCACTAGGAATGTGGATTGGGAATGCAATCCTTTCAAAAAGGATTTTACCGATGCCTGTCTGACAGTAAAGTGAGTAAGGGCTGGGTTTCCTGAAAAGCTAGTGCTAAGTGTAAGGCACTGGCAATGTAGTTGGTTTGTGGTTTCATGGTTGCTTTAACCAGCTTTTTTTTGCATGTACCCCATGGCCATCCATAACCACTTCTTCAACCATCCAGATCTAATTTCTTTAGAAACTAATTTCTCTTGTATATAACTGGTTGAAAGAGTTCAAGATACCTACCAACACAATTTAAAGTTTGAACTGTATTCAACTTTCACCCCGACTACCATCACCAGACGGCAGACACATTGTAATTTTCTTGCCAAGTTTGCTATCCTGATCCTAGGATGAACCCATGGAAACTGCTGTGAAACTGACCCATAACCCAACAGTGACACTTTGATAATTCATTTGACACTCCCTGAGTTGAAATCAATATCATTATAATGATACGATCCTGGTATAACCAACCAGCCTCAATCACAATAGTCAACAGGTAACAAAGTCTCAGGATGTAAGGTCATCCAATAAAATAGCCCTTGTTACTAGCTGATACAGGGCATTGTTGAATGTTAGATATTGCTGAATTTTTATGAGTTGGTATTAGGCACGTCCTTACTTTATATCCAGCCCCAATACATCAGTCGGGCACACTGTGGTATTTCTGATCCATTTATGGAAACGTTTCCATTTTTTGAACAATGTTCCAAAAATGGATACGCCGTTTCCAAAAATAGAAACGATCTGTTCCATAAATGGAGACGCTGTGTGCATCGCTAACTTTAAAGCAAACTGGGCATTGATTGGTGCAATTTGGCATGCGCAGGATGCCACCAATCGACAGCCAGCATTCTAGTTTATGTTCCTGTTCTCCGACTTTCCGATCAGAAAACCGGAAGTTGACGAACGAGGCGATGCTTATACGCAACCGAAGTCGTGACGTCACGATAAGTGGCTGGGGCATAATCAGCTGACGGCCCCGTGCTAAAGCAATGGGGCAATATTTTGCCGATCTTTCCCAAGAAAACTGGACCTAGTTAGATAGTTTTAGTAGCTGAATTTAGGACAACGATGTATGATCTATTTTTCTATGAAAAAATATTGCAAACTCTAACAACGCAAAGCACAAAATTTCGTGAAAACCTAATTGGCGGCGAAGTTGACGCAGAAATACAAAACATTTTATATCAAGAGGTTTAAAATAATGGATTTAAAATAAAAAAGATTTTCAAAACAACTTATATGGTGTATTTTCTCCTTTGCTTTTTACAAATAAAAAATATTTATCCAGCTCAAACTCAAATATGTCAAACCTTACGCATCAAAATCCTCCCGACGCGGTCACAGTTCGCATCTCAAGGTCATGTATTTGGTGCGTCAAGTTCGCCGCCCGTAACAATTTCGCGAAATTCGGTCCTTTCCGCTTTGAAACATAGCATTTTTTGGGCGTAGAAAAATAGAATATACACAGTTTACCTAGAAACTGGCCCCCAAACTATCTAACTAGGTCCAGTTTGTTCTAAAAATGCTGATAAAATTTCGTCCCATTGCTTTAACACAGGGCCGTCAGCTGATTATGCCCCAGCCACTAGTCATGACGTCACACTTCGGTTGCGTATAACATGTTGATGTGATAAAAAATTCACACGTTTTTCTAATCGAAAATAATAACATTTATGAATGTTTTGAACAAAAAATAACGTTTTTAACAGACTACTGAAAGACTGACCCATTGATTGGAACAACCACATCACCGGGAACTTCAGTTTTTCATTCATTTTCACGCTACGTTTTCCGGTGTACCAGCGGCCTGGTGGTCGTCAATCTTTGATTAAATCGCATGAAAGTTGTTGCAAAGCCCTATTTGGAGACTTAAGTGGGCATTTTATGATATTTCAAATGTGCTGAATATGATCGTAGGCTCGGATCAACGTAAATCTCCGTGCAAATATGTAAAAAGCAGGATGGAAATAAGGTCTGCACCGTCGTCACACCAAATACCGTTGTATTCTGACGATGAATTTATTCATTCTAGCTCATGTGTAACATTTTTATTAATTTTATATATTGAAATGATATCTACGCTTTATGTATTGCCCACTTTGGACCACATTTGTCCAGTAGTTTCTGGGAAATCTTAGTTTTAGTTGACTTTTGAATGTGCTCAAGTTGCGGAGCGTTACTGTTAACGCCAGACCCCTTGAGACCCTAATTTTTCGCGATTACTTTTAAATGCGTGAAGGACTTTCAACCAAGCTCAGGACATGGCCGTTTCAAGACAGGCCGAAACTTTTACAATTTAGATATTTTATCGCCATTTCAATATTTCAGGCACTTGTCATTGACTCGTAATGTTAAATTTCGAGCAAGATTTTCATCCGGTGTGTAGAGGCTATCACCAGTCAGTCTGTGATACGTTATGACGTCACAGCTAAGCCCCGCCTCTGTGGTCTTGGCCTGCGGCGGTTTCGGGCCGGCGCGCGGTCACTCTCGCTGTGGCGGGGAGCGGGGACGGGCGACGGTCGAGCGGTGCCGAAAGCCGGCGGAGTTGTGCGTAGCGTCTTGGCTGACAGTGCCCAGAGAGCGACATGATGCCTAAGGAGTCATAAATGCTCAATGCGCATTGCTTCTACAATGCTGATATGTTCGCTGATATATATTTTTTTTTTTATAAGCTGCATATGACGGGCAGATGGCATATAAGTGACATAAGGTTAGGAAATATTCATCTGTATTTAAAGCCTATGGCGTTGCAGATAATGCGATAATGGGATGTCGGATGTCACCAAGTAGCTGCCGATTTGTCATTGACATCGCTATGCAACCATCGAACAACGCAATAATAAGTTAATTGCCTGAGCTTCACATCATACGGCTCGCTCGTATTTCACACAGATACCCTACATCAAAAATCGTATTTGTTAGGAATCGTTAACGTTTGTTCGAAGCACGACTGAGTAGTAGGTTGAGGAGTGATGGTCCTCTTGGTCCTATATACAAGAGTCAACAAGAGCCTAACATTTACTTGACCGTCTGCTGCAATTGACTCATAGCACGTGAAGCGTCAGCGAAATTCATAGTCCTTCACAGATGGCAGGGGTGTCGTTTGTACAGAGGTCGCTGATGGGCACGGGTCAATGCCGCAGTCGTGGGCGGAGCCTAATGTCATATGACGTAGAAAGCCTCTATCCAGGATGGAAAAACAGTTCACATTACGAGTCAATGACAAGTGCCTGAAATATTGAAATGGCGATAAAATATCTAAATTGTAAAAGTTTCGGCCTGTCTTGAAACGGCCATGTCCTGAGCTTGGTTGAAATTCCTTCACGCATTTAAAAGTAATCGCGAAAAATTAGGGTCTCAAGGGGTCTGGCGTTAACAGTAGGTATTATTATCGAACCCGACGTCCAAGGTAACTGCCGAGAGCCGAGATGCTAAACCAGTCCCAAAACATCAAATTTTTAGTTGCATGTGAATTTTAAAAACACATTTAAGCTAAGTTTGCACACATTTGAACTTCAGCGTTTCTATTTTTGGAACATCGGCGTTTCCATTTTTGGAAACTTAGTCTCCATAAATGGATACGATTCAGGAGCATTTTAAAGACGTGAATTTTAATGCATACGACAGCTTTCCATGCAAGCAGACAAGTGCTTTTGGTGTATCTGAGCTTGTTTTACGCGAAACAGTTGTTATACATCGAATCCAGCCACCCTTGGCAAGAAAATATGTGCGGAGATGTTAGCGTTTCTATTTATGGAACGAGCGTTTCCATTTTTGGAACAGAAGAGTAGTCAAAATTGGAAACGTTTCCAATAATAGAAACGTCTCCATAAATGAATCGGAGATACCACAGTGCGCCCGACTGACATTCATGTTTGATAGGTATACCTTGAATAAAAAACACTACCTGTATATTATATGACAAATTGATGTCAATCAAATGATGAATGTCCATAAAATAGATAACAGAAATGATAAATGTCTATAAAAGTATAAATAAACAAGTAATGAAAATAACCTCTTTCTTAATTCCTTTACAGCAATGAACCCAGAAAGGATGGTGACACCTATTTGAAGCTTGCGAGGAGAACAGCAAGAACGTCTCAAGCCATGATAGGGTGCTAGCGTGAGCTCTTGCCTCTTCTCCACGCAAAGCAGGGACCACGGCTGAAACCGGTTGGTTATGATCGCTATGATGAAACAGACACTAGCAAGTTACCAAGAAATTTACAAAAATAAAGCCAACGATCTCTTACCTTCCAACAGCCCCTCTCACGCTTTGCTTTGTCCCAAGCCCAAAAGCTTTGTCCCCGCGTGTGCGCTTTGTTTACAATTTTTACAATTTTCATGTCGCTGCCGCGCCATGAAAGGGTTTAACTGAGTGTTAAAATGTGACTACCAAATAAAACTTGGCATCACATACGTTGAATTGTGCAGGATTTTGACATTTCCAGAAGCCAGTGCGACAGCCTTGGGCCTTACGAGGTTAATTGTAGCCAATTTGGAGCCATTTGGAACCGCTACAGATCTTTAAAGCCAATATCATCCTTCACGCTGGCATGGAGCCTGAGCCAAGACACGAAGGTCAAAACCTAAGCTCTATAACCTAAGCGCATCGGATACGAGCGTAATACAACACTCGAATGCACCTAACTAGTTCAAGCCGTATTCGATGCTTTCAATAATATAAAAAAAGAACTTTCAGTCATCACTCAGAACCCTCGTATTCCTCTTACTTCGCTGGGCCCGTATGAAAAGGCGGGATGTGCTCATAGTTTCTAGCAAAATTATTCCGGAACGAATGATTGTTACGTTACGCGTTCCGTTCCAATGAAGGACAGGCCAAGACATTTTCTGACCCCATAAATCCCACTAATCAACATCCGTCATAGGTTTCCAGAGTTTCCGCAAGACAGTAGGTATCACGGAGCGCTGAAACAATTACATTCATCTTGATGTTTATTAAAATTTGATTGTGTAACAAAAATAATATCAACTATTGCGTGTCCCTCAACATTAGCAAGGCTATGGCTGAGCAAACGAACTAAAAAACAAAGAATAAAAATGAGTGAACAGAACATTAATACTGGAGTAACTACAACACGTCTAATCAAGCGAGATTCTCGGCGTCTTTGGTATTGCAAAAACATATTTACAGCCCCGAACGTAAAAGCGCAAATGCAATCAACGATGTACTAGGCTAGCGTGATGTCTTTTCTAATGTCATCGATTGTTCCTATACGATCTTTGGGATCACAAATCATGGCAGGTCTACGGCCTAGCAGCTCTCACAAGCTACCTCTTTGCAACAAGCGTGCACTAGAATTTGGAATGGCGAACAAGCACATCTACGGTGCTACTGTTCTAATCACAGCTAAAATATCCTCAGATTACGTCATCCGTGCTTGTGCAGTGCACCTCTCAACCCGAATCCCGCCTCGACTCTTACATCCATTAGGCAGGTCCGGTACATCATTCCATGGGAAAACGTCCCGCGCACCAAGGAAGACACTCACTTGGACGGTACCGTTGGCGAAAGGCCGGATTACACGCGACAACAGGAACCCCGGCCGCCAAACGCCACTGAGCGACGAATGACCGTCGCCAGATAGAGCACAACTCCCCGCGAGGAACCACACGCGGACACACTCGCCCGTCACCGCTAACAGAGCCACTAGTGAAAACCCTGTGCGCTATTGGTAAAACTCATCACCACGACGGACATGCACCACTGAGATTAACGCGAGATTCCCCAGTCGGCACACTTTTGGCAGCGTTCGGCACGCACACACGTTACTGTATGAAATGGACCCGATGTCATGGAAGACAGAGGCAGATTCCAAATGCCCAATCAACCCTGCTGCTTTTGCACGGTATAGCTGCGTGCGTAATTCATCACAACACTCCACTCTGTTCATTTACCATTTCATCTTACACTTCAGATCCAAGGTTTGCCTCTTCTCTATCCAGATTTCGGCACTAAAAGCCATCTCCAGCAACAACACCGACAAATCATATGTCGGTTTTGACACTCCGGTAAAGACGCTTTACCTGTCGTCGACGAAGCTCCCTCTGCCGTTAACGACGCTCTATCTGTCGGCCACGACGATCTGCGTCTGCACCTGGTCGGCCGACACCGTCTGTCGGTAGGTCTCCGTCGTGCCGCTGTTCAGGTTCGTATTTGTGCACGTCACCGTACACTGGCCATCCTGGCTGGCACACGTCTCCACCTGGGTCTCGAACCCGCGCTCGCAGGAGACCTCGAACAGACGCACACGGCTGCCGTCCGAACGCGTCGTCTCCGAGCTGGTGATACAGGGCGATCCTTCACGACCTCGGCGGTCTCCCGGACCGGTGACCGTCGCCAGGGTCGGCTCATCGTCACTCTCACCGCTCTCAGAGACATGCAGCGGCGTTAACGGATCGGTGAGCTCATCATCCAGATCGGCCATTCCGTCTAGCTCATCAGCTCCCAGACCCAGCGCGGGGAGGTCGTCCAGCTCACTTCCGGCAGCGCTGCTCGGTAATTCCATACTCAGCGGCGAAGCCCGCCCGCCGTCGTCCAGACACGCAGCGTAAGGCGGCGGATGCAGCGGTGGCGAAGGCGGAGGATCAGGTAGATCCTGCTCTAGGAGTTGTAAGTGCGGCGGGGGAGCGTCCGGGCTCGCCAGGTCGTCGTCGTAGTAGCAACGCTCGTCATCAGAGGCAGCCGGGCAGGGTGACTCGGGCGGGGAGGGAAGGGGTTCGTCCGGTGGTGTCGGCGCTGAGAATTCCAGCACCTCGGCGCGGAAGGTGACGTTTAGTCGGTGGCCGGCCGCGCCGCTGTTTGGGGTACCAGAGGAAAGAGACGAGACGGCCGGTGGCTCGGGCTGCGCTCCTGCAAGTTTGTGCGGGGTGGATGTCACCGCCGAGACGGTAGCGGCAGAGGAAGCTGGTTGATCGCGGTCTGAGTTTTGCTCAGGAGGGTTGCCCGACGTTTCCTCCGCCCGACGCGAGGCTCCCGGAGACGTGTACGGTACACGAGTCACTGTGGCGGCGCCGGCGGGGCGCTGGAACGGCCGCGGCTGACCAAGCAGCAGAGCTCGACTCGCAGTCGGGGATGAAGTGTCCATAGGCGGCGCGCCGGCCGATGGGGCAGCCGGCGCCGGAGGGTCGCGCACCAACATCAGAGCCGGGTTCAGTTTCACACCCTGCGGTAGCCTCAGCGCACTGTCCGACTGACTGTGAGACGTGCTTCCGCCGCCGCAGCGACCGCTGAAGAACTCGCGCCGCGCCGCGAAGTTCTGTTTACTATAGGAGACCATCTGCTCATCACTGGAGATGGTCGACTGTGCCGTACTGCTGCGGACTGTCTGAGTGGTAGCCTGGCTCGTGCCCACGTGGTGGCTGTGGTTGGGCACGGAGCCAGAGGTACCGTTAGTCATCTGACCGCTGCTGGTCTGCGTGGGTTCCGTGCTGCTGGTCTGTGTAGGCTCTGTGCTGCTGGTCTGTGTAGGCTCCGTGCTGGTCTGAGTGTGCCCGTTACTGCCGCTGCCGTTACTGGTAAACACGTGTGCGCCGTTACCACTGGTGCTCGTGCTGCTGGGGGCAGTTCCCGAGCTGCTGTGCCGGCCGGGCCCGTTACTGCTGCTGCTCTCCGTCGGCCAGCGCGCGGTCCGCTGCCCGGAGGTGGTCTGGCTCGCCGTGTCGGTGACGGCGGCCGACGCCTGCACCTCCATCTCCCGTCGGCGCCACGGGCCGGCCGCCGACGGGCCGGGACCGGCAGCGGCGGCGCCGGGCCGGCCGCGGGTCACTCCGCGCGGGTCGGAGATCAGAGGCGCCAAGCGCGGCAGGGAGCGCGTGCCGCGGTCGGCGCCGCGCGCCTCCGCTGAGCCGTAGGATCGGGCGGGGGCAGGACGGAGGTGATCGGGACGGCGGCGGTCGGCAGCCGGACGCGGCCCCGTCACGGGTGAGTTGCTCTGAAACGACGCACGGAAGCGCGGGTCATGCCGGCGAATTAGGCGCGCTAAATCACCACGATGAGCCGGATGCGAAGCTATGCGAATGCTAGTGGTCAGGCTATGAAATTAAACAGCAACCAAACTGAATTAGCGACTCCAAACCAAGTTAGTCAAACTCATCAAACACATTCCGTTGCATTGCAAGCAGTTTTCAGACTGTTATCTGCAAATAAAGTATCCGATACAGGAATCGCTACAATACCCTGAAACTAATTCGACGGTTAAAATATCAAATAATTGGCTACAGGTTAACATATTTAAGGGATTAATGGTTACCAGGAACGAAATGGACTAAAAAGACTAAATGGACCGGTCTTGGAAGTGCAACAGATGGATGCAGTGCAAAGGAAACAGAGTGAACGACATGGGTGTAACGCTTGCGGTTTACTCACACAAATAACCAAACCGGACGAGGGTCATTAGGTGGAATAGCGATTGCATGTAAGTTGGGTTGGTATAGCGAACGCTGTGCAGAAGAGCTGAACGTATCGAGCATTTTTTTGGGCTCGTAAGGAGTTGAATTTAACCGAGATAAAAGGAGTCGAAGATAAAAGGACTAGTACCGTAAAATAAGGACAAAACATAAGAAACACATCTAATGACAGGAGAAACACAATGATTTATCATTCATCAACGACTGACGGGGAAGTGCGATTGACGTCGGATATTCGGACCTGGACGGTGCGGGCGGCGGAGGCGGGCCGCGGCTGGGGAGCGGCGGCGGGCGCAGCTGAGGAGGGCGGCGGCCGGGACCGGTCGGCCGGGGCCCTCTGCTCGCCGCCGGCCGTCTGGGAGTGGCCGTGCAGCGGCGGAAACAGGTGGTCCATGTCTAGCTGGGCCATCAGCTGGCCCAGACTGCACACCGACGGCGGACTGGGACTGAACCGGGGAGGACGCGGCGCCTGCGAGCCACCCGGGGCAGAGGTCAGACAGGCGACGGTCGGAGGGCAGCGGGTGGCTACGGAACCGGCAACAGAGGTCAGAGAACGATCAATGGTGAGAATGTCAGGGACAGAGGTCGGCACACGGTCACTGGAGGTTAAGGGGAAGGGGTTGTGAACAGGGATCAGAGGTCAGGAAACACTCACAGCCACTAGAAAAGACATGGAGCTTTAAGTGGGCATTTGTCAACATGAGTCAAAGGTCGGGACGAAACCGCTGGGGGAATACAAAGCGGAAAGACACGGGGGAGGAATGTTAAGTACGTGCAAAGGTCACACAACAAACTCGGCTTGCGGAAGGTACAGAAGGAAGACGGGAGACAATGGATATAAACAAACCAGCAAGATAATGACAATGAAGGCAAAAACAACGGACACTGTAGAGTGACGCAATCTAAATGAGTGAGGAAAACGGTATACAAATGAACCAGGATATTATTCGGGAGAAACAAATGACAACATTGCAAACACAGTTAGGTGCGATTAAGTGGCAGAGCAGGCAAAAATGGAGCCAGCATGCGGACCTTAGCTGCCGCGAAGTTAATGCTTGGTTACGTGCCAGGGAAGGTGGATCACATCCGTTTCACATACCTACCGTGGGTTAGCTAATAACTGCAGAATGCTTAGTACCTACCTGCAGCGCATGTTCAGCTCAGCTGCCAAGTACTTACTAATCGACGGTCAACCAGGTACAGATGAGATCGTACTGAGTAAAGGTGGAGTGATGCTGACCAGTAAGTTGGGATTTTATCTAGAAAATTGTTAGATGGTATGCCGGCGCTTTTAACAATAATAAATTGGTCATTTACCAACATGAAAAAGTAAATGACCTTCCTTTCTACATTCACATTAAATTAACTGTATGATACTGATAAAATAACTCCAGCACTAAGAACCTATACCTTAACAATTATGCTTTGAAAATTGCACTGTCTTATCAAACACTCACCTTTTTATTGTGTCGAGCTAACTACCGTATGCAAGCTGTGTGCATGTGCTGGGATACATTGAAGGGAAAACGAAATCAAAGAATGATGGGCGAAGGATTTCAGTGCGAGATTTAGCACAAAGACGCGGTGCAGGGACCAAAGGATGGTCGTGATCGAAAAGCCACCGGTGACATCCTCGTGTGTCGTCCATCCCGCCTTCAACCGTGCCCGCACCGCAGACCTCTCCACCACCCTCGGTGCCTCGGCCGCGCCCCGTCCTCCGTCCACCCTCCACTCCGGTACCTGTCCGTCCAGGCTGACGCTGTGCTGACGCGGCGAGCCGATCCTCCTGCGACCGGCAGGCGGCGTGTCCCCGTCCCACTCCGCCGGCGGCCAGGGCGAGGCGGCAGTGCCGTTCGCACAAGCCGCCTGCCGACGGTTCAGCGAGCACGATGAGCCGTGACGAGTGAGACGGTGGCTGGCCGGTTTGATGGCGGTCGCCTCCTTCCAGCTGGAGGTCGGGCTGGGTTGTCTGGTCTGCCAGGTGGCACTCCGAAGGTGCATACGGGGTGTGGCCGTCCGGCGGAGACCCGTGTACGGGTCGGTGTCAGCGTCATCAGTAGCAGCAGCGGCGGCATTTGAAGTTCCAGTAGTGAAGACAGAGGTGCGATGCTCAGAGTAGGACGTGTCCAGAGTGCGCGCCTGACGCGGCGGCTCGCGGCCGACCGGCGGACGCAGTGCGTCAGGAGACAGCGTGCGGGAGAGCCGCGCCGGGGTCACGTGTCGCGGCGGCGCCGGCGCCGGCGGCTTCAGACGGCGACCCGTGGAGGCTGGCGTGGCCGGGCGACTGGCCGGCGTCATGGGTCGACTGGCAGGAGTCACAGGTCGAGCTAGCGGGGTCTGACCGACCGGGGCAGACGAGACCTTAGATCGACTTCTCTGTACACCGTCGCGGAGGTTCGTCAACATGAACTTGGCTTCGTCCAGGTGTAGATCTCTCTTCTGCGGGTCAGCGCGAAGGCCCAGTTCCAGCACGTCTCGTAGGATGACCGGGCAGAGTTCGGGGCTGATCGCTAGCGCGCACCCTCCGACAGCAGCCTGCTCACTGATCTCATCCACACTGAGACCGTCCCACGGCACCTCACCATGGATCAGCTCCCAGATAAGCGCGCAGAACGAGTACGTGTCGGCCATTTCGGTGGGAACACCGTCCCGGAGTACCTCGGGAGCCAGCCAGTTGTAGAGCGCTCCCTCGGCGCGGCAGGCCAGCAGCCGTTTCTGCGGCCGAGGCGGGCCAGAGGATACTTGTAGAGCGTGTTCCAAACAGCCGAGTTTGGCGTGTGCGGGCGTGAGCAGCTGCACCGCGTGTGAGGTGACGGCGCAGTGCAGCCATCGCGCCGCGTGCATGAATTGCAGCGCGGCGCACACTTGCAGCAGCAGCTCGGCAGCGGCGGTGTGCGCCAGTCGCAGCCCGCACGTGTACTGGCAGTGGTGCAGAGAGCCGAGCGGCACGCGCTCAAACACAAGCGTCACCGCGTCCAGGTTCTCCGACGGACAGACGGCCATCAGCAGAAGCAGACTCGGGTGGTGAAGTCGCCGCGCAGACTCCAGTTCGGCGATCAACAGGTCTTTCTGGGCGCCCGGCGGCGGCCGCTCCACCATCCGGCGCACGGACACGGGCGTGCCCAGGAACAGACGCGCTGCCATCTCAGTGTAGGCGCCGAGTGGGTAGCCGCGTGCGCCCCGGTCCGGCTCCAGGCTTCGCTCGGTGGCTAGGGGAAGGACAGCCAGGGCGCCGGGACCCGCCTCGCCGCCTCCATAGTAGACTGCGCCGAATCCTACCGACTGCACTGATCGGGCCAGCTCAGCGAGATCCACCTCATCCGCGGCAGCGGCGGCGGCACGGCGCGGGGTTTCGCGAGGCATCAACCGACGCAGTAGAGTGCGCACACCGCCGGTCCCGGCAGAAAAGCTGTTGGAGCGTTCCACCAGCATGTCCCGACCGCTGGGCGTCAGCGCCGCCAGCCGCGCCGTCTCGATCAGCTGCAGCACGCGCCGGCGTCGCAGCGGGTCCGGCTGGAGGCGCGCCCAGTCGGCCGGTCGCCGCCCGGCCAGGTCGTGCAGGCGCAGGTCTCCGCCACACTCGAGCAGTCGGCGCAGCACCCGCAGCCGGCCAGCGTAGCACGCGCCGTGGACGGCCGTGTAGCCGCCGTCGCAGCGCGCGTTGGGATCGGCGCCGCGCCGCAGCAGCTCACCGACGGCGGCGCGGCGCGCTCCGAATGCTGCGCAGAAGAGCGGCGTCTGGCCCGCTGTGTTGACGGCGTCCGGGCGGCAGCCGCGAGCCAGGACGCGGCGCACGCGGCGTGGCTGGTCGGCGAGCACGGCGCGGTGCATCTGAGCCACCAGAGGGTCAGAGCTGGTCGGCTCGCCCAGCTCGGCCGGCGCCCCCGCCTCCATTGCAGCGGTCACAGGCACCTATGTTGTGCTGGCAGACTGTGGGAGGAAAGAACTTTCAATTACAAAAATTTTAGACCCACGCCTGAAGCATTGATACGGCCTGAAGGTACATATGGCAGTAAGCTTGCTTGAGTAATTAGATAATCCATTGTCAAATTAAAAAAGAAAAGAAATAGCATTTAATCATATATGCTGCCTCCTGGATGTGGATTGAAAGCAGCTACATCTGATTTCCTTTTTCAAATAATGCCACAAATAGATGAAAGAAATACTAACAAGCTCATATTTGAAACATAGGTAAAATTTTGAATGATTTGTTTGAATTGTAAATAAATACTGATATAGCTTACATTTCAATGACCTGTAGAGATTAGCACTAGCAAAATATAATTCGCAATAAAAAATAGATCAATGTTTGAATGGATTGATTGATGGAGCCAGGGCCCAATGCCCATGCTAAACAGACCTTGCTGCCTAGACCCGAACTCCTACCATCTGATGACTGATCACACGTTTCCACATATCAGGAATTTGAATGCCAATTGGATTGCCAAAGGTTTAAGTGCCCTTTAAAACCGGACATGGCCTGTCCAAAACCGGACATGGCCTGTCCGGGCTGTCCAGCTCAACTGGCTTCAACTGGCTGCAGCTGCTTGCTGCTCCCACCAACCTCAGACCATCCCTCTCAGGAGTCTCAAATATCAAGAGCCATACAGCCCGAACCTCAAACCCAGGCTCTCACTTCCGGGAGTCTAGTGCTGTACCAGCTTACACTGAGCTATGGGAGAGGACAGGCCAACTCAAATCAACATGCTTACGAATGCACAACTGACATTGACATTTGGAATGAATGGATGTTTCCCACATTTCAATTTGAGCTCACAGTTCATAGAGATTGGCTAAATATCTTATTTTAAATGCTTTTGCATTTCAGTCGGGGAAACTATGGTAAAATCTGCTATTTTTAGCAGTCTGCTATTTTTAGCAGAAATCTGCTAAAAATGGGTACGCATGTGACGTCATCGTACCCAAATATAGCAGATTTGGGTACGGCCCCCGACAAAAGCAGATCTGCACCCTAATTGAAGCAAATGCGCATCAAATGCCTGGCAGATTCATGTTTAGAATAGTGCTGAGAATGTCCTCTGATATTTTTGTTCAGATCCGACTATTTTCAAATAATGAATTTGAAAATAGTCGGATCTGAACAAAAATAGCAGAGAACACTCTCAGCTCTATTCTCATCATGAATCTGCCAGGCATTTGATGCGCATTTGCTTCAATTAGGGTGCAGATCTGCTTTTGTATGGGGCCGTACCCAAATCTGCTATATTTGGGTACGATGACGTCACATGCGTACCCATTTTTAGCAGATTTCTGCTAAAAATAGCAGATTTTACCATAGTTTCCCCGACTGATTTGTGAATCAGAATCAGAACATGGCCACTGATGACTGAAAAAGCGCAAAAATATTAGTAGCAATTTTATCAATTGTTAAAATTAACTACCTCATCAAAATGTATATAATTGAACACACAATAAATACAACCAATCACATCTGCACTCCATGCATCCCATGATTTTAATTATTTTAATCTTGATCTACTTTGAGGCAATACATTAGGTACCTACCTACCGTAAAAGCAGTTTCATCACGTTTCCCTTGATAAAATACTGAAATAGACAAAATGAGCTAAGAAATTCCAAACAATTCAATTAGTCTACATCAGTTCAATGACAATTCTGATCACATTCTGATGGGCCAAGGATGGGCAAAATCGGCAAAATACCGCAGATTCACATTTTGCCGCACGCGGCAAAATCGCAGTCGCTGAAAAGCTAGACGCATCTGCAGTTGTAGCGCCACCCAGCGGTCTGTTATTAATTTTAGATAAAAATTGTTTTTATTTTCAAAAACAATTTTTGTTTTTAGCATATTTTCAGAACATATTCCTCTAAATATTTTTTATATTAATTTGATGAGGAAAATTTATGATTTTCGAAAATCTTTATAAATTCCAAGAAAGAAATACTACATTACCGCTAGGTACATCGTAATAGTTACAGTGCCGACAACTGTGAACCTGCAAAACTAGCCGGTATGCATTACTCACCTCGGTGCGGTACTAATGGCAGGGCTCCAAGCAGGGCTCAAAGGTCATTGGGGGATGACGCCAAATTGGTGTTCCGTTACTCTACGAACCGTGAAACGCAATCTCTCGTACAGCCTGTTGCCGACCCAACCCTGTTCACAAGGGACAGTTTGGGACTGTTAGCACCTCTTGGCCATTTCTAGTATCTACCACATAGCCATTTTCAGTCGGAACTAGGTGTGTCCGAAAATTAATTATTGGACCATATAATATGAATTTTTAAACAAGCATTCAATACAAAAGAGCCTTAGAAGCTCATTCCGGTATATTTTTATTTCAACATAAGTAAATTTTTCCCTATGAAACTATATACCATATTAACAACTACTTTCTCTACTAGTTATATACCAACCGGCCCGGCGGCGCTCCTGCGGCTCCAGCGGTAGAGCTGCAGAAATTCAGAGACGCAGTGCGAGTGATCGTCTGACCACCAATCATAACGAAATACGTTTCGATTGATGCTTATAATGCAAAAACATGAAAGAGTTTTTAAACTTCATGTAATACGGCGAGTACGATAATGTAATTATGGCGAGTTATCGAGAAGGGATTTTAGAGGGGACAGATTTCCAAATAAGCGTAGTGCGCACCACTGCGAGAGCCACACGAGAACCACAAGTCACAACTACCAACGTCGGTTGATATCCATGACTGATGTATGAGATTTTATTAGGCTTAATGCTTAATGATCGTGTTGTTTCTGGTTCGGAAGCAGCGTCGTGCCCTGCGTCGTACCGGGTTGCGGCCAAAAGTACGCACTACGAATCGCAAAGTACGTAGGTATGGCTAATATTATTGCCGATATATGGCAAAGACGGTATTAATAAATAATTTGCCGGAGGCCGGAGCGGCAGATCAACGGATTAGAGCTAATAAGCACGGGTTGCGCTCCACTAACGGTTCGGTCATTGGGACTGCGGCGGGCGGTGGTGAATGGCGCCGCCGCTGCTGCACGAGAACGACACAGCATTCCGTCGGAGAACGAGGTGGACGAAGACGAGCGGCAGATGATCGTCGAGGGGGACCCCGGGGACGAGGGGCCTGTCGCGGCGGTCACCAGCATCGAACAGTCCACGCTGACATTCGCGCGCCAAGACGGCCGAGGGCCGTCGCCGCCACCGCTAGAGGGGCACCATGGGGCTTTTCGGGGCGGGCAGCGAGGGGCGCAGTGGAAGGTGCACTGGGAAGGGGAGAGCAAAAGCAAAATTCCTAGGCCAAACTGAATTAGGCAATCAGTTACGGCTGCCATAATGTCCAGCAAACTGACCAAGGCAACAGGACAGCTATCATGCCGCAACCCCTAAAGCTCTGTAACTCATCACAGTAGTCAGTACTTACTCACAGTACCCATTCGTCGGCAGCTACACACGTGTGCAGATCGGGGCGAACGAAACTTCTGGGTGAAAACTAATCAGATTTGACTTTATATTTGACCAATATCGCATATCACTGTACACTAATACGCAAAAAAAAACTTCCGTCAGCTCCGACGCAACGGCCCTCTCGCCCGCAGAGCACGAACAGCAGACACTCAAACGGCCCATTGACGTACCGCGGCATTCCGACAGCAGGTGGGTTATCTACACTCAAAGTCGCGCATTCAACCAGTCAGGAAACCACAGAAACATCTAAGCGGTGCACCGTCACACACAGCTGTAACACGTGTGTGTAATGATCACGCGTAATGATCGTCTGCATAAAGCAGCTCGGCACGGGCACTTACGTCGAAGAAGAGGTTAAATGACTCATACAGCTGTGCTTATATGCCACGTGACACGGGACTACTACCTGCGCCTTTCGGTCGCCCAAAGTTCATCTGTCACCGGTGGAACAACGATAGTCGCTTTCCCTTCAACGGCCAGGACCGTTGCCTCTCGTTATCATCCATCCCGTGCAGCAGTGACGGCTGATTCGTCGCCGATTGGCAGGCAGCCTGCCATTTCTTCGTGATTCCACCACTCGGCAGCTACAGCGTCCGCCGCCTGCTGGATCATTTAACTGAAATCAGAAATGCAAAAGATTTATTAGATAGGTAAATCATTGAGTGGAAAATGGGACAAATATATGGGAATGTTACAAGTGAGCGAGCTATGTGACAAATGCCAGAAATCTGGGGCTATGAATGCTATGAACAATTATGGCTGTTATTTCACTCCAAAAGTTTCATGCCCTGGAATTATATCCACTTGGATAGTAAATCCCTCTCTGAAATTTGTTGTGCAATGAAACGAGATTATGTAAAGATATAAAAATATCTTCAACAATTGATAAAATGAAGCCAGCCATAAGAACCTAATTTTCAATTTCATTTCAGATGAGATCCTAATGACTATGATTCATGCACATGTCTGATTGCCAAACCTAATGAATTAGCTTTGTCATGTCATGGCTGGCTGGGTGCATTTTGTCAATAACACTTAGGTTTAACATTATCAATAGAATAGTTACATATAAGTCATGTATGGTTGTCAGTCACAAATAACAGGCAAAGGTTCATGAAGATAATAATTTAAGCTAGAAAATGTTGTGCATAGCCCATTTTATGTCATGAACCCCTCATGCCACAAATGACAAGTCAAGCTTTCAAAGCTTACTTAAGTGATAGCAATATTTGACCTGACATGACATGAATATGATCTGGGAAAAACCGAGGGAAACTACAGTGACAAAATACTATGAGAAATACTCTAGCATAATAATGCATAATACATTGTATTAGACTCAGAGCTTCACAGATTTGACCATCTGAGTTGCCCTAGGTGCAGCATAACCAATTGATTTTTTTTAAACAAATAATTACTCTTAGATATTTAATACATACAATATTAATGAAGACAAAAATATATTTGTTTATATATGAGATATATGTATGATAACTGCGCTCCTACTCTAGTCATCACTTTCTGCCCTGACGCCCCCTGGTAGACAGCAACAGTGTTCGTCGGCAAGCTATTTGTCAGAAATTATGCCAATGCATTTGCCTGGCTTTAACAAAAATCATTACAGGAGCTGGGAAAACATAGTGAAATACTTAATACCTAGGTAGCATATTCATGACATTTCATGTAAGCAATCCTAAATATTGGTATCAGCACATAGCAACACTCAGAAGTTGAAATGGTTCTGAATAGGATTTTTCAAGCCTGTCTAATCGTTTAAAGAGCACAAATCAATACAGCAAAAATTGAGCAGCAGGTGTAACAGAAAGTCAGAAGTAAAAATTGGGAGGTGAGTTCTTTTGCTTATATGGCTGGTCAGTATCTAAGGTATCGTGACTTCACATGCGCTTTTAACTTATGCTTTAAACGATGAGACTGAGACAGGTTAAAACTTAAAAACATCCTTCTTTGGTTATCATAAATTGTATTTTTTATAAATTTAGTCTGAATGGTTGAATGGGTGGATTTGAGGAATCAGAGCCCGCACTAAACATAGCTTGTTGTGCCGACCCTGACCCCACCACACGATCGCGCAATTCCAATTGTATGGCAGAATTTTGTCAGAACATATGTTAATGAATGTAAGAAAAATCATCTGTACGTGCCATATTTAATTAAATTTTCACTTAACAGCAACTTGAGTAGGCTTTACCTGGGTTTAACAAATGTTAATACTTGTGTATCCCCCGTGCCATCAAAGCGCGGCAAATGCGCATGCACTCAATCGATGAAATATCAACAAATATGAGACAAACCATCAAAAAGTGTGGCTGTAATAATTTTCGCCATGCTGACTTACCTGAAACACCTCATCTTGATTGAAATAGGCGTATCTGCAATCTTTTCTCACTAAATTCGCAAACGTCGACGAGTCGAAAACTCGAAATCAACTGCGGAGCGCGGAGCCTGCGGGGCGACGACTACGGTAAATGAGAAAAACGATAGTATGTTGCCAAGTGCGCATGCGCAGACGCCTCTGCCGAGGAACCGACGGCCGCCGATTAGCACAAGACTGCTTATTAGCACCGCTAAGCCATCTCCGAGGGAGATGGCCAGAGGCTGCCATATGTGGGCTGCCATAGGCCATCGAGATGGCCAACAGAGGCGAGCCCAGGAATATACCCGTTAACACAGTGCTGAACTGGCACCGACTGTGGAGTGCCTGAGACCGCCATTGCCCAGGCCATCTAGATGGCTTAGCTGGCGGCCGACGACCGCCCGTGTGAACAGCTATCATGTCACCTCTTTACTGGGCTCGAGCCTCAATTCCTGAGGTCGAGTCCGCTCGCTTTTGACCGCTCGTGGAAGATGTATGTACCGCCTACCTACACATGAAGGTTATGGCAGCAGCATCCTACAAACAGGAATCAGAACGAGGGGACAAAACACAATCTACATCATGAGAGGGTGCCCGAATCTGGTCCCATCATGAATGATGGACGTCCCAAGATACCTATAATAAACGGACGTCCCAGCTGGTGTCGCCACCAAGCGGCAGTACTTCCAATCACTGAAACCCCCGACAGTCGACAGAGGACAGGTCCAGACTTTTTTCGGGGGGGGGGGGGAGGGCAATGAGAATAAATGACGGTGTATAAATTACAAGCATAAATTACAAGAACATTCACATTTATAATAGCCGATAGGACCCGTTCCCGGCGTGCTTGGTTGGCAAAATACGTAGAAGAATGACTGGCACGAAAATAGCGTTTATTATACTCAGTAGTACGGGCTAATATAGTCAATGTGGCGTTACATTTTGCTCAACACTGGCACTGGTTATTGGACGTTTCCCGTAGCACACCACGAATAGGGACATAGGCGGGGGACAGCCCGGTTCCAAACGAACAACGCCCACAAACAATCGCTCAGTGGCAGTTACAGTTTATGCAAAGCCCTTGTGTTACATCGTGCTACGTTGACTATTTGTTCGCAGCAATGTACAGATCCTGACGATTACGATACTGCTGAAATGAATAGATTCCCAGCAGACTAGACTCTGGCCATCAGAAAAGCCAAAATACCCAACCCGAAAGCTCACAAATATGGAAGTGGCACGCACAGCAAGTTTGAAACACACCACGCGTCGATTATGAGAAGCTCCGTGCGCGGCATCAGACACACAAGATGTGCGCACGGATCGCATCTACACGGAGTGCCAACACCGATACACAAATTTTCAGCTGTAACAAAATAACGCTTTCAACCTTTTCACTGCAGGCACGGCACCAGACGACACCCCACAACACCCACCGAACACCGCGGTTGTCTTCGTAATAACTTAACCGAACTGAGTGCGCGGGGACACGGCAATCCCATCTGCATAACGCGCACAAGACTGACTGTGGATAGGAGTCACTTTCCGGACATTTTCCGATCAAATTTTAACGAGACGCATCCCTCAAGCCCTACACCGTTAGTACGGTCCCAGCCACTCGTCGTCACTTGGCTCCACTGCCGCGTCCTCCGGCTACCCAGCCGGCAAACGTAAGCCCTCGGTTAACACACAGCGCGCCGCGGGCAGCCTCCTGCGCACAGCTCACCTCACGGCACCTCTCACTGCCCAGCACCGCTCCAGAAACGAACCCCGGCAGTCGGGCGGGCCCCGCTGGTCGGCGGGTAGACGCGTCTTCGTGCCTCGGCGGACCCACTAGATGTTACCGACGTCGCCGGCGGGCGGGGCGTTCTGCTGGTTACCCCGGAACCACGGCGTCTCCTTGTAGAGGAACCACATGTTGGACGCCCACAGGAACGTGTTCAGGAAACCAAACAGCTGTGGAGCGGACGGAAATACATGGCTCGGTCATTGTGGTCCGATTTTAATGTGACGACTCATCCTGAATTATACAAAGCACTTTTGTGTGGCTTTAACTAATTTTCCGCCACACATTTCAACAGCAGGTTTTCGCAAGCCGAGCAAACTCAACACAGAAGTCCTGTGATGAGCCCAAAAACATTAGAACAATGTTGTATAAATGTACTTTCTCTTCAAGAGTTCGACATTTCAAAGCTTTCGATTGCGGGCTATCGTAAGCATTAATAGCAATCCAAAGTTCCTCTGTTTCTACTTCAAGACAAGATATCCAGGCCTTCAACTCACCAGTGAGATATTCAGCTTTCCGAAGGAGCCCTTGAAGTCGCCGCTCTCGAATGTGCAGGTGACGTTGCCCTTGCAGACCTGGTCCATCCAGACCTCTGGGTTGCAGCCGTCCTTCAGGGTGCCGGCGCCGGCCGCCCACGCCGAGGCGGCGCACAGCCACAGGAAGGCCAGCAGGCCGTGAAGCAGGAAATCCTGCCGGATCGCGAGCGTCAGAAAACGCCCAGATATGGACCCACCGCCTGGGCTATTTCCGTACCCACGACAACCTGGGGGGGGGGGGGGGGGGTCGGATCCGACCCCCCCCCCCCTGTTATCTCGAGAACCAATGGTCGTATCGAGCCCCGCGAGGCGGCGTTCGAAAGGTCTCTACGAGACCTTCCCTCTACGAGACCTTCCCAAAGCACTCTTAATATTTTAAGATTGAGGTCAACTTTCGGGTCAAGGTCAGGTCAAAGGTCAAATTCTGGGGTTTTGCATGATTAGGCTTACGGACAGCGGAATCGATAGCTGCTGCTCGAAAATCACCAAAAATGACCTCAAAGACCTAGTGAAGGTACCATGTGCGTATAAGGGTCATACTAAGTACGGGTCAAGGTCAGGTCAGGTCACGAAAGGTCACGGTTTTCACTATCTGCTACATGGGCGTGCGACACATGCTTTATGGCTTATTTTTCACGCCGAATCCGATGGTAATGGTTATATGTGACCCCAAGTCACTGTTCTGGTGATAAGTGTGCAGTGAAAGCATAACAAATCGTTTATACCATACATAACTGAACGAGGGCTAAGAAAAAAGTCAAGTTTTCAACTTTTTATTTTTGACATCAAAATGCTTTTTTTTCTAGACGAGCTTTGTCCCAGGAATATAGTGGTGCCATTTGTTTTCACATGCGATGTTCAGAAGTGCCTCTAATTCACGAAAATGCTTATGACGTCACCATGCCCTACGCATGTTGGAGCTTTTTTTACAATTTGGGGGTCTAAAATCAAGATAGACAGTTGAAATTTGGGACATCTAATGTTCTAATAGAGCTCTATAACACATATTCCGGTTTTTTTGGAAATTCTGAAAATTTTGGATTTGATAAGCTATTTTCCAAAAAATATAGTTTTTTGAATTTTTAGGGGTGAAAAACGCATTTTATGGAAAATCCGAGATAGCCATTTTAAAAGAACTCGTTGAGCTGCGTCTATTCATGTCCCTAATTTGCAATTTGCTTTAAACCTTGATTTTAGGCGATTTTTTAACATTTACTACTTTTTGACTGAAAACGCCATGTAGTTACATCACTAAAATCGATATATCTCAAAAACTTTTGAAAAAAAAAAAATTCTTAAAAGTTACACAGCAGACGTCAAATTGATGGGGGAGAAGTTATGTTAAGTTTTCAAGTTGATAGCGTAAGCGGTTCATGAGTTATTCAAGAAAAACGGAGGGGGGGGGGGGGTCGGATCCGACCCTCCCCCAGGCGGTCGCGGGTTAAACCGTCACAGGGCGGGGCGATATGAGGGAACCGGGAGGGTACTTAATAATTTAGACGATTCTTCATCAGAAATGATTTTGCTTCGAACGCAATGATTGGTTAGGTGAAGAGGAATAACAGAAGACGCTGTTTCCCAACCTAAACACTGCCCGTATGTCGTACAATATCATGTTACGAACTTACGATAGCGGAGCAGCTATACATAATCCACATCTTACAACTGAGTCACCGGTGAACAAAGCCCTGATTCACTGATTCGATATCGCTCGAAGCCGCAGAGCGTCACTGAAACACCGTCGTTACTTAACACTTGAACTCCAAACCAGTCTTGCTTTACTGCAACTCTCATATCAACCGTCCTTTTTCTTCTGCCAATAATTAAAGCAAAACAATTTATTCCGGTAAATCCAAAAGACAGCTGCCTTTCCTTTGCCTTACTTTCCTTTTGTGCCTACAATTGCGTTGTAAAATACATAGTTTGAACGAATAGTTTCACGTTGCAAATGCAAACAAATTCAGATCGGAATCACGCCATAAATATAACGCGGTACAATGAGCATAAAATACCACCTCTATCCACCCCCCCCCCCTCTCGTCACGCGTGCCGACCGACTCACCGCGGTGGGGAGCGAGTCGCTCTCCGAGTACCGCTCTCCGTATAGGGTGTATCCGGCCAGCGCGGCCATCGAGTACAGCATGCAGATGACGCCGATGGCCACGAAAAACTCGGCGTCCGATGAGGTGTCCGTCTGAAAGTGGAACCGGCCTTCGACTGCCGGCTGGGTGCACAGCTGCTTCTCTTGTATCACGGCATCCAGCCTGGCGGCGAATGGGCAATAACATTACAATTAGTATCGACTATCGAGTATGGCGCGACATTCGATGCCCCATTGTATTTGTGCGGAAAAATTATAGCTTATTTTATAAGCAACGAAGACTGAGAGGCTCAACGATGTCTTTTCTTATCTATTATTTAAGCACAAATATTCAAAGTTCACGTAAGAATAAAGAAAGTTCAAGTACGAATATACAAAGTTGCAAAGGTATTTTAGGAAGCGAAAGTAAAACAAGCGATAACGATCCACCTGTTCTCTGAAAGAGTAGGTACCTCAGATTTCAAACCAACATGTGTCTTTGTTCCTAAAACATCTGGGGTAGCTAACTATAACATATACGCCTGTTTTCGAATCGTCCATCATTGATCCGTAGGTCGCTCGGTTCCAAGCCCTCCACAGAGCTTCTGGTCCGAAATCTCCAGTTATACGAGTCCCGGCATCGATCCCGATTCGGGGCGCGCTGGCCAGACCGCCGCAGAGGTCCAACTGAGCGACGGGGCCGGTACAGACAACACACCAATCGATACGGGTGACCGCCGGGCGGCGACAGCTGAACCAATCATCCCGACCGACCCGGACGGGCGTGCCGCATCTCTCGGCCGTAAATATTATATGTAGGTGCGCAAAGTCGGTCTGACAGTGTGAGTCGTGACTGACTGTGTGCCAGGCGATATGGATTTCCACGCCGAGCTTTTGGTTTCGGTGAACGGTTCAACAACCGATCATGTCTACACGCAAGGCGTGCTTTTTGACCTGGTGGTGGTACCCTGATCCGTTGGTCCATTC